TGCTCCAACTGTGAGAGTATCGCGCCGAACAGGCGCCGCAGGGCAGCCTCTCCGCCAGGGTCCTCACAGAGAAAGACCGTCGTCATGGAGACGTGGTACGCACCAGCGGCCGTGACGCCACCGAGGTGCCCCCGAAGACAATTTGAGAGACCGGGGTTGCAGATCCCGGTACCCAACGGCACTGACGGCGAATCCGCCTCCAGCGCGGGATGTCTCAGCCTGGCCACCCGCCGTTACCACGTCAGCCCTCGCGGCTGATGCGCAGGACTGCAGCCAGTTCTGAAAAAGCACGTCGCCTAGCGATGGCGCGGGGCGGGGCAACGGTCTGGTTTGGACAGTTGGAGACATCCGCTTCCGGGGTCGCGGCCATCACTCTCCCTGGTTCACCGAGCCCGCCAGGCTTTACGCAGGCCCAGATCTCTGCCCCAACCACCTCTGAGTCGCTGCCGCTCTCGCCCCGGCTCCCGACGCCTGCGCTCCGCCGCCGATCCTCTCAGGCAGTCATGTTGGAGCATCTGGGCTCGCTGCCCACGCAAATGGTGAGGACGAGGCACGGCACGGGATCCCTGCACCCCGCACCTGAACCCAGCAGCTTCGCAGCCCTTGTCTGAGCACGATTACCATCCAGCTTCTGCCCTGAGTTGTGCCTCCTGCGTCCTCTTCGCTCTTCCCTCTCGAGGATCTTCCTGCCCATGTTCCGTTAGGATATTCAGTTCCCCCGGGAAACCCAGAATTGGGCTCCTTGCTTATGTCTTCTGGGGAGTCCCTACTGTTGAGGTTCCTTCTGCCAAAGCTGTGAGGCCAGGGCAGGAATGGTACCTTCTTGGTGGTAGAACCAATTCCTGCTTTGCTCTCCTTCATCTCTAGGATTACAGGGGCCAGAAGCTAGCTGAACAGATGTTTCAGGGAATTATTCTTTTTTCTGCAGTAAGTATTGGTTTTGCATCCTTTATTTTTTTCTTTTCTCCTGTTTTTCTTTCCCAGCGTGACTATATTTAATATATTCTGTTTGTCTTTAGATAGTTGGATTTATCTATGGGTACGTGGCTGAACAGTTCGGATGGACTGTCTATATAGTTATGGCCGGATTTGCTTTTTCATGTTTGGTAAGAAATTTGTGGGTGTTTGTGTGTTAGTAGCATCTAAGGTTTTCTGAATTGGGTTGATTTGGTTGGAGCAAGTAGTTGAGAAACTAGCCAGTGGTTCCCTTCTCCTTTCCCATCAATTTCCTCTTAGTGTCATTGGAAAAGTAGAATGCCAGAGTGTGAGATGGTGTTAGCTGCATAAAAGCTCATTTTCTTGGCAACTCCTCCAAGCTACAATCTTAAGGTCTAAGCTAGCAGGAAATTCTCATGGTTCTCACATTGCCCCCACACTTTTCTTTGAGCTTTTAAAGCAGTGAGGCTTTTTTCCATCGTCTTCCAATATCTTGTCTGAACTTTGACAGCTTTCATAGAGATAGCCCTAAGTTTATTTTTTACCTTTAGCATAGGAGTCTTCTAGGAACCAGACATTATACATAATGCTCCTTTAAATATTCCATGGCTAAAATTGATGCACTGTCTCTCTGTTCTGGCCCAGCTGACACTTCCTCCATGGCCCATCTATCGTCGGCACCCCCTCAAGTGGTTACCTGTTCAAGATTCAGGAACAGAAGACAAGAAACCAGGGGATAGAAAAATTAAGAGGCATGCTAAAAATAATTGATTGGGGTTTTTGTGGTTCAGCTTTACTATAGCACCTGCTTTTGTCTCCTCTGAATGAACCAAATTGCTTTCCTACCCAAAACAGAAGTTAAAAAACACCTATGTTCTTATGGCACAGCTGTGTGTAGATTGTGCTCTCTATTTAATTTCTAACCAGTGGGTTTTGATTTAGAAGTATTTTAGGCCCTCTCTTCATAATCTTGCTCTGAAATTGGAGAACAGAAAACACAAGTATGCACAGTTTCTTTCAGGCCTACATAAATAATGAAGGAAAAATGCCTCAAATGGTAGTACAATTTAACTATTAAAGTTTGATAATTCATTGAGTAAGCTGTTTAATGTTTTCAATTAAAAGTCAGAACACAAGTCTGAATCTAAAGGTTCTCTTTTTCATTCTTATTCTGCAAGAAAACCATTAGTAAAACCCAAATTTATAAGTCCACTGTCCCAAAAGTATCAGTAAGCACCTTTTTTTTTCTTTTCTGTACCTGCAAGTTCCAAATATGTCTTACCAACAGAAAGCATCTATGAAAAAACTTAAAAATGTAAATTTGTGTTAATACTACAGTACTACTGAGATAAGGCACATAACAACAACAAGCAGAAAACATTTAATCTAAGCTTTGCTTGAGGTGGGCCAAAGAGAAAACCCAGAAAACTGTAAAATCTTTAAAAATTTCCAGAGGGCTAAAGAGAAAAATATGGCTGTCTTCCCTGTGTCTATGTGTCTCTTGTTACAATACCAGTCATAGTGGAGTAGGGTAGACCCTGCTGCACTGTGACCTCGTATTAACTAATTATATCTGCACAGACATTATTTCCAAGTGACACATTTCATAGGTACTGGGAGTTAGGACTTGAAAATATGTTTTTGGAGGATACAAATCAAACCGTAACAGACCAATAGTCTACCTTTTGGAATTTGTCAGATCAAGTGGACAGGACAAATAAGGAATTTTGCACTTGCTGTTCCCTATGCCTGAAACATCCCTCAAAAATACATGACTTTCTCCCTCTTTTCATTCAATAGTCTACCCAGATGTCACCATAGAGAGACCTTCCTGTATCCATTTAAAGTTGTTTGCCCCATCACTCTCAATCCACTTAGCCCACTTTAATTTTTATGGCATTTAGTATATGTCATGGTACATATTTGTCAATTTTCCCACTAGAATGTAAGCTCCATGGAAATAGGGACTTGTGCTTGCAGCCGATTGCCTAGTACCTATAATATAGTACACAGTAAGTGCTCAGTACCTATTTATTGAATGAATGACACAGAACTGTGCTGTGTAATATGATGCCACTAGTCATGTGTCTATTCAAATTTAGTTTAAATTAGGAGCCCTTGTGTTGCAGTGGTTAAAGCACTCAGTGGCAAACCTGAAGGTGGGCAGTTTGAACCCACCAACTGCTGAGCAGGAGAAAGATTTGGTAGTCTGCTTCTGTAAAGATTATAACCTTGGAAACCCTGTGTAACAAAGCAGTTGTACTCTGTCCCATAGGGTTGCTGTGAGTAGGAATCAACTCGACAGCATCAGGTTTGTTTCTTTGTTTTTTAATTAGATTTAAGTTCTACAGGCAAACTAGCCATATTTCAAAGGCTTAGTAGGCACAGTTAATATATTGAACAGCACAGCACATTTCCATCATCACAAAATTCTGTTAATCAGGTCTGATATAGGGAGTTTGGATATTTAGTAGATAGGAAATTTTGTGCAATAGAGAATTCACATTTATTGAATGCCTGTAGAGCCTTTCCAATAATGAGTCATATACTGAAGCCACAGGGAAAATCAATTCTAAGAAGTAAGGATTGTGCAGATCATAGTAACAATACTGTGAGGTATGTAGAGTTTACAAGTGAAGAGAACTTCCTTAGCTTCCTAAGTATGTGGAAATTAAGAAACACTTCTAAAAGAGAAAATTGAAACCTGAATTATGGACTATATGACCAAATGTATATTCTGAGGAAAATTCAGTCTTAGATAAATGGTCTATAATTAAATAAGAAAGATGAGAAGAACCACAAAATAACCCAATCTGGAATGAAAATGTGATGAGTATTTAAGTGAAATAAAAACACATAGCATAGAAATGAAGTGTGGGGGGAGATTTTTTTTTTTTTAAATTCTAAGAAAATAGTATGTACTAATATTAATAGAACGCTTAAGTAAAAGGGGTAACTTTCCAGAGAAATGTGGATTTCTAAAACATGGAAAAGAGTTGAATAGCACAGGAAGACCCATAATCTGCCAAAGATTTGCTCCAACTGGGCATTGGGAAAGGAGCTCTGGTGGTGCTGTGGTAAAAGTACTGGGCAACTAACCAAAAGGTGGGCAGTTCAAACTCACCAGCCACTCTGTGGGAGGGAGGTGGGGCAGTCTGCTTCAGGAAAGATTTATAGCTGTGGCAAACCTATGGGACAGTTCTACTCTGTCCTTATAGGGTCACTATGAGTCAAACTCAACTTGGCAGGTTTGGTTTGCTCATTTGGACTAGATGGTTTTTATAAGTTGAGTTCTAACAAACCCTTCAGAATAAAAATTAGGCCTCAGAGACCAGACTGATCATTGTAAGGGCAAAAAGTATTTATTATGTTTTGGGGGGAAAAAAAAAAAACTGCCATTGAGTTGTTTCCGACTCATGGCGACCCCCATTGTGTTTCCTAGGCTGTAAATCTTTATGAAAGTAGATCACCCAGTCTTCCTTCCATGAAGCAGCTGGTGGGTTTGAACCACTGACCTTCTGGTTAGCAATCAAGTGCCTTCTCCACTATACCACCATAACTTCCTTCTTATGTTTTAGTCACTACTATATTTACTATTATATCCCCATTGTGTTTCCAAGGTGGTAAATCTTTACAGAAGTAGATTGCCCCCTCTTCCTTTTGTGGAGCAGCTGTTGGGTTTGAACCACCAACCTTCTGCCTTCTGGTTAGCAGTCAGATGCCTTAGGCACTGTACCACCAGAGCTCCTTATATCCCCAGCACCTAGTATAGTGCCTGACACAAAGGACACACTCAATAAAAATTTTTAAATGACTGGAAAGGAACATTTCATTGAGTGTTGTGTGTATGTAATTTTTAAAGAACGTAAGATTTTCAAACTATTAAACACACACATCTCTGAGCAGTATTCAATTTTAGAATCCCTTGAATATAGAAGTGAGAATTTATTAAACAAGATTTATTTTATAAAAACTATTTATTTCTTAAATTAGCATTTTACCCCTTATTAAACAACTAATGAAATATGATACACAAATATAAAATATGAGAAGACAACCACTATCTTGATATATATGAAGACAAACTTCAGGAGACAGATATTAAATATAACCAACATAACTAAAAGGATCTGGATTTACAAGCTGCTTAATTCCAAAAGAAATGTTTTATCTAATACAAATAAATCTAACAAAACCAGTATATAACAACATACGGATTTACAAAGCCAAACTATGTCTTAGTTTCAATTCTTATCTACCCTAAATGAGGTTCTTAGTATATGAAAATAAAATATTAAACATCATTCAGTGTTAAAAAGGAATTCAGTTGCTCAAGAACTAATACAACTTATTCTTGCAAATCTAGTTGCATTGTGATTGACTGTTTAAAATTGTTTATCATCTATGTAATGTAATTAACAAAAACAAGTATCACTGGACCTAATATACCATTTGTTTCTCCTATTGCTTTTATCACTATAGTTCAATGTAAAATTTCCAATCCAATATTTCATGGCCTTGTTTTCAAACTAATTAATACCTTATAAAGAATAAAGTTCTAGATATAAAGTTGGTAGTGTAAGGCTCGTAAACGGTAAACAAATGTCTTATAACATTTTTCCTCATAAAAAGAATATGATACCCATGGGATTTTCTTTTCTTTCTTTTGTAAGCTTGCTTCCTATTACTCTGTACTATCCAATTTTTTTGCAGTAAGAAAACCCCAAAGAGCGATGCAATGATGCTGAATGGCCTGTAAGCCATTGTTAGGGGTTTGTTTGCTTTCATTTTTTTAAGTCTAAAGTCTGAAAATGGTCTTCAGTTCTGGCAGCAGATTAGAACAAATTCTCAAAAATTCACATTTTCTTCAAAAAATTTCAACTGGCGAGCTTTCACACTATAAGCTGTATACTTTTCACCCATGTGTTTCCGCAAGCGTACCTATTCGAGAAACATAAAAAGAAAATCAGTATGTGATACCAAAAATAAATAAATGAATGTAATCTTAGGAGAAGGGCTTTGCTCGGCATGATGCTAAAGGTGGAAACAATATGAGAAAATACTTATAGTTCTGTTTATATACAATTTAAAACTTCCATATGTCAAAGAGAGAAATTGGTATCAGATCTATCTTGCTTTGATTTGGGGCTTTTCTTACAATTAAACCAAATAATCACTTTAAAGAAATCTCTGATGAAAATTACTCTGTCAGCAACTGTTCTTACACCCAAAGTTGCAAAAACTTTATTTCCTGCTAAAAGCCAGGTTTAGTAAATTTGAATTTGAAAAAATAATGGTGTGTGTGGGGGGGCAGTAAAAAGGGGAGGAAGGAGGGCAAGGTTAAACCAATCTTGTTAAAATTAGCCAGTAGCTGATCTAGTTCTCTGTTATTTCTTTATAAGCCTCCTTGTACCTAGCCTCTTTGAGCCATTTGCTTTCTCCGGACTCAAATGGTCTCCTTACCTGATCTCTAGATGTAACAGTAAAAGAGTTCAAAGTATCTATTATAAATGTGTTAGGATTAAAGAAATGATTATTCTACCAGGAAAGCTACCTCTCAATAATGAAGGCAAAATAAAGACATTCCCCGGTCAATTGGACAAAACTTGTGACTAGCAAAACCACCTTGCAAAAATTACTAAAGAAAGATCTTCAGGCTGATAGCAAGGGACCCCAGACAGAAATTCATATCCACATGAAAATACAAAGAACACTGGTAGAAGTAATCATGTAATTATAAAAAAAAAGTATAAATGTTGTATATTTCTTCTTTTTTAACTGATTAAAACAACTGTATAAAATAATACATATATAATGTATTGCCAGGTCTATAATAAATGTTGTCGTATGCCGTCAAGTCGGACCCGACTCATAGCAAACCCCCCTTGGCTTTCCGAGTCAGTATCACTACAGAGCTCTGGTAGCATAGTGGCTAAGGCACTTGACTGCTAACCAGAAGGCTGGCGGTTCAAACCCACCAGCCACTCCTCGGAAGGAAGGTTGGGCAATCCTACTTCCATAGTGATACTGCCTCGGAAACCCAAGGAGGGGTCGCTATGAGTCGGGGCCGAGTCGACGGCAAATAACAACAACAACAACATCACTACGGAAGTAGATTGCCCCATCTTCCTTCCGAGGAGTGGGTGGTGGGTTTGAACCGCCAGCCTTCTGCTTAGCAGTCAAGTGCCTTAGGCACTAGCTACCAGAGCTCCCCTATAATAAATAGAAATGTAATATATTTTCTAATAATGGGCCGAAGGAAATAGATGGGAGCAAGGCTATATTGGGCTAAGGAAATGACTGCAGGTGTTAAAATTCACAGGAACAAATGAAGAGATCCAGAAATGTTCAAGGTTAATATAACAAAAGCTACAAATATACATGCATACATTGGATATATTGCAGGTCCAATTCCAGACCACTACAAGAAAGCAAATATTGCAATAAAGTAAGTCACACAAATTTTTTGTTTCCTAGTGCATACAAAAGTAATATTACACTGTACTATGGTCTTCTAGGAGCTCTGGTAGCGCAGTGCCTAAGGCACTTGACTGCTAACCAGAAGGCTGGCGGTTCAAACTCACCGGCCACTCCTGGTAAGGAAGATGGGGCAATCTACTTCCGTAACGATACTGCCTCGGAAACCCAAGGAGGGGTCGCTATGAGTTGGGTCCGACTCAACAGCACTTAACAACAACAACAATGGTCTTCTAAGTGTATGATAGCAAAAAGTTTGAAATATTGTGAGATTTACCAGAACGTGATAGAGACACAAGAGTGAGCACATACTGTTGGAAAACTGGCACTGACAGACTTGCTTGATGCAGCGTCACCATAAACCTACAATTTGTAAAAGTATAGTATATGGGAAGCGATGAAGCAAGGCACATAAAATGAGGTGTGCCTGTGTACTTCTCTGCTCTCAACTTTTTAAAAAAGATACATAGCATTAATTAAAGTAGTAATGATAATGTAATGCTGGATGTGTAAGATTTATAGATTACTTTGTATAACTATCACAACAAGTGGGGAAAAGAACAGAGCTGAACTGAAGTAACATTTCTTTATCTCAGTGGAAATCTGAAGTCCATTCTGGTAATTTAAGATGTATATGCTAACCCTTACAGCAATCACTAGGAAATAACTAAAAATATACAGTGAAAACATTAACTACAAAAATTAAAATGCTACAGAAAAGCTTTGCAAATCATACATCTTGTTAGTTGCTGTAGAGTTGATTATGATTCATAGTGACCTTATGTGTGCAGAGTAGAACTACTCCATAGGGTTTTCAACGCTGAGACTTTTTGGAGACCAGGCCTGTCTTCCGAGGTGCCTCTGGATAGGTTCCAACAGCCAACCTTTCAGCTAATAGTTCAGGGCTTAACCATTTATGCCACCAATATTCAGAATGTAAAAACGTTTACAACTCAACAGTTAAAAAAAAATTTAAAAAGGGCAAAAGATTTAGAGATATTTCACTAAAGAAAATGCAAAAACAGTTAACATATACATGAAAACAGAACTCCCAAAACTCATTCTACGATGCCAAAATTACCCTGATAACAAAACCAGACAAAATTATTGCAAGAAGAGAAAGGCATAGACCAGTATCTCATGAATATGGACATAAAAATCCTCAATGACATACTAGCAAACCAAATCCATCAAAATACAAAAAGAATTACACACCATGACCAAGTACACTTTATCTCAGTTTTATTTTCTTAAAATGAGTTAATGTAACACACCAACCATATTGGCAAACTAAAAAACAAAAACCACAAAATCATCTCAGAGAAAGCATATGACAAATCCAATACCCTTTCATGATTTTAAAAAAAAACTATCAGACTAGAAATAGAAGGTAATGCCTTCAACCTGATAAAGGAAATCTATGAAAAACCCATAGCTAAAATTAATGGTAGAAGAATTGATGCTTTCTCCCTAAACACAGGAACAAGACAAGCTCCCTGTTCTTACCATTTTTATTCAATATTGTACTGGAAGTTCTAGCCAGGAAAATTAGGCAAGAAAGGAAATAAAAGGCAGATTGGAAAGTAAGAAGAAAAACTAACTCCATTCATAGATGACACAATCTTGTACATAGAACATCCTAAGGAGTGTACTTAAAAAAAAAAAAAAAAAAAGCTATTAAAGCCAATAAATGAGTAAAATTGCAAGATATAAGATCAATTTATATAAAAGGAACCAAGTTTGCTAGTCTGATAGAGACTGATGGAACCACAGAGTCTAAGGCCCCTAGCTGCCCTTCAGGTCTGGAATGGAACCCACTCTCATGGCTTCCAGCCAAACAAAAGACAGGCATATGAAGCGAATATTTACATTAGGTAGATACACTCCTTGGAGCGATCAATCGTGGAACAATAAAAGGGCTGTGTATTCATAGGAAGACAGCTGGGGGAGGAGGGTAGAAGTGCATGGGAGGGAAGGACACACAGAAGAGGTAACTATGAGGAGGAAGTGGGAGGGGGCTGTTGCATTGTGAGAAATTGCAGTCAAAGTCATGAGACAAAGTATATGTGAGCTGCTGTATAGAAAGTGAATTTACTCTGTAAACTTTCACCCAAATCACAATAAATTTTTTAAAAAATCAATTTATAAAAATCAACTGTGTTTCTATGAACTTGCAATGAACAATCCAAAGGAATAAAATTCCAATCAGGAATAAAATGCACAAAAGAAGTACAAAACTTACACTGAAAACTACAATACATTGTTGAAAAAAATAAAAGATCTAGTACAATGGAAAAAAAAAAATCTTATGTTCATGAATTGGAAGACAATACTGTCAAAATAGCAGTCTTCCCCAAATTGATCTACAGATCAATCCCTATCAATTCTAACTAGCTTCTTTGTAGAAATGAACCAGCTATTTCTAAAATACATATTGAGATAGTTAAGGTTCTGTGTCAACTTGGCTGGGCCATGATTCTATTGGTCTAGCAGTTAATGACACAGTCATTCCCCATGATGAGATATGCTATAATGTTATTACCTCCATGATGAAATCTGCTGTGAGCAGCCAATCAGCTGAAAGGGAGTTCCTCAAGTGTATGGCCTGCTTCCAAAATATATGGATGTCCTGTCAAAGCTCTCTTTTTGTTCCATATGAATTCTTCAACTGGCTTATTATCTGACCTCCCCTTTTTGGACTTGAACCAGTGGCCTGCTGTACTGCCTGCCAATCTTGGGTTTGTTGGCCCCTACAGCTATATGAGTCAGAAGCTTCCAGCTTCACGTGTGGCCTGTGGAATTGGGACTTGTAGCCTCTACAACTGTGTGAGCCATTTCCTTAAGATAAATTTCTCACTTATTCACTCTCTCTCTCCATATAAGCTTCACTGGTTTTGCTTCTCCAAAGAATGCAACCTAAGACACATATGGTATTGAAACCCAGAATAGCCAAAACAATCGTGAAAAAGAACAAAATTAGAGGACTCACACTTCTTAATTTCAACAGTAATCAAGATGGTGTGGTACTAGCATAAGGATAAATACGAAGACCAAAAGAACAAAATTGAATGTCCAGAAATAATATGTGTCTAGGGTCAACTGATTTTCAACAAGAGTCTTTTCAACAAACAGGCCAGGGACAACTGGATAGCCACATTCAAAAGAAAGAATCTTCACCTCACACCATATAAAAAAAGTGAATTCAAAATGATCAAAGATCTAAATATAAGAGCTAAAAATATAAAACTCTTAGAAGAAAATATACACATAAATTATCTTCATGACCTCGGACTTAGTAATGGATTCTTGGATAACACCGAAAGCACAAATAGCAAAAGAAAAAAAAGGTAAGTTGGGCTTCCTGAAAATAAAAAACTTCTGTGACAACAGCAACTCAAAAGATTTTAAAGGAACCTTAGGGGGAAGTGAGTTTATGTTAATGTGAGAATGGTTGCACAATTCATAGAATATAATCAATGTCACTGAATTGTACATGTAGACACAGCTGAATTGGTGTATGTTTTGCTGTATATTCTTTACAAGAACAAAATTAAAAACAGTAATTTAAAAAATAAAAAACTTGTGTTTAAAAGAACACGATGAGAAAGTAAAAAGGCAACTCACAGAATGGGAGAAAATATTTGCAAACCGTATAATGGTAAGGGTCTGCTATCTAGAATATATAAAGAATTATTATAATTCATCGATAAAAAAACAAATAACCAAAATCACAAATGAGCAAAGGATCTGAAAACACATTTCTATAAAGATACAAATGGCCAACAAGCACAAGAACAGATGCTCAACATCATTAGTCATTAAGGAAATGCAAATCTAAACCACAATGAAAACCACTTCACACCCACTAAAGATTATAATCAAAAAGTCATCTAACAAGTGTTAGGGAGGATGTAAAGAAATTAGAACCATTTATACTGCAGGTGGGAATGTCAAATGGTACAACTGCTTTGGAAAAGAGTCTGGCAGTTCCTCAAATAGTTCAAACACAGAGTTACCATATAACCCAGCAATTCTAATCCTAAGTATATACCCAAGAGAACTAAAAGAATATATCCACACAAAACGTCTAATATAAGTGTTCATAACAGCATTATTCGTAATAGCCAAAAAAACCAAAAAAAAAAAAAAAACCTCACTGCCATCGAGTTGGATCCAAATCACAGCAACCCCTCCTTAAATTTCTGAGGTGGTTATCACTACAGAAGCAGATTGCCCAATCTTCCTTCCAAGGAGTGGCTGGTGGGTTTGAACCATCAGCCTTCTGGTTAGCAGTCAAATGCCTTAGGCACTATACCACCAGAGCTCCCATAAGCAAACTATATCCAGCAGTATTTATATGATAATATATGATGGTTGAAATAATCCAAATGCTCATCAACACGAGTGGATAAAGAAAATGTGTATCTAACCATACAGTGGAATATAATAGCACTGACACATGCTAAAATGAGGATGAACCTCGAAAACATGCTAAGAATAAGAAGTCAATCCAAAGCCACATACTGTATGATTCCATTTATATGAAATGTCCAAAACTGGCAACTCTACAAAGAAAGTAGATTAGTGGTTGTTTAGGGCTGTGGGACTCTCGGGAGGAAACCAAGAGTGACTACTGATGGGTACAGGTTTCTATTTTGAGGGTGATGAAAATGTTCGCACATTGCCTGGGTGATGGTTTTACAATTCTGCAAATATACTAAAAAAACACTGAATTTTACACATTAAATGGGTCAATTGTATGATGTGAATTACATTTCAAAAAAGCTGTTAAAAAATGCTATGGGTAAGTAGAGCTTGACACAGTTAATGGGACACTCACCTCTCTCTCCAATTCATCTTCCTCTTCCAAAAGATCATATACTTGCTCTAAAAGCTGAATCCCCAGGCCCTGGATTACATCAGCTCTCAAGACTTCAACTATTCTCCTGATCTTTTCAGACCCTGGCACAACAGCTAAAAAGCAGTAACAGAGAAAATTATAACATTCACACCACTGCAGCATGAAAAACATAACACTTTGTAAAAATCTTGCCACATTACGATTATTCTCACTTTGACAGGCGTTTGATTTAGTGACTTCATTTACATTTTAATCACTAAAAATTTATATACATACATATGTATAAGATGAACTTAAGCTTTGTGTCTCTTGAACCTTAAAACACACACACAGTTGTCTAACTTGAAGAAAATCCATATGTAAAATCCCAAACATTTATCATTTATTTATCTACATTATTTATTTTTTAAAAAATAAGTTTTTATGCAACTTCTCAGGAATACATCACAAAATAACACACACCTGTATCTAGATGAAATTAAAAAATTTACAAGCATTAGCTCCTAGGTTTAACACATCTCTTTAATAAGCATATGCTTTCCAGTTTGCTACAAAAGAATAATTGATCACCTGAAGGTAGCTCTTTAAATTGGAGTTCCTCCGCCTCTTCTGCAACTTTCCCATGAAGTATCAGTGTATCCCGGTATTTCCGATGAAGTTTAAACTCTGATACTGGATTAGGTACTGGGAAATCTTCACAGCTCTCTTTGCAGTCCAGTTTCAAGGTCTGAGTCATCAATTGCACCAAGTCACTCATTTCATTTGTGTTACTTTTACTGGGGAAAGAAAAACTTCTTTGTTATTTAATTGGTTTAATGAGAATTTTTCATTAAAAAAATACATGCAAAGAGACTGTCAAGGAGTTCTGCTTCTAAATGGCCACGTGAGCCCTTACAGATAGATGTTCCCACAAATAACAACTATAACCTCTGGACAAAATTTAAAAATCAACCTCTTGAAGGCAATGGAGAATGAACAAAATTTGCTGGTAGATTCAGGGTGCAGTCAACACCTTTTACACTGAGGGCAGCCACATGAAGTAAAAGTATAATAGAAAACCCACAGTCTGTCTGGCCTGAAGAACCAAAAGACAGAGTTCAGGACAGCCACTGAAGAAAGACAGAACGTGAGAAAGGAATCTTGGAAAAGAGAGAGCCAGGAAAGAAAAGTTCAGATACCACGTATAAATTCTGCCCAAACTGCTGGCTGACCTCTGAACCACACGTGTGGGGCAGAATCCAAGCAGCTTAAGAACTGAACTGAGATGTCAGCTGCCACTAAAGAGCTAAAGCATGCAGTGTAAGTGTAATCTGAGCCAACTAAAACAAACCTAAAATCCATACTTTTCAAAAGAATATAAAAGAATGCAGAATTTCTACAACATTAAGTCATAAGATCCAGGATACAATCCAAAATTACTTGATAAATGAAGAAACAAGAAAATGCGACCCTTCCTCAAAAAAGAATCATCATGGGACTTCTTGTAAGATGGAGGAATAGGCAGACATGCAACACAGACCCTCTTCAACAAAGAAAAGAAAAACCAATTGATAATCCTGGAATCCTGAGCTTTGAAAGAATTATGCAGAAGTGGATTAGGCACCAACTAGTGCCAAACCTGAATGAAAACAGTGAGTACAGAGATGGTCAGAGTTGTGAACTATCAGCTACTCTGATGGGCCCAATAGCCTGAATATTTCCAAGTGGTGCTGGGACCTGAGAACTGACCTAAAGATCAACCCTGGTCACCAAGGGCTGCAGGGACAACTGCGCTGGTGGCGTATGACTAGGAAGGGAAACAGCAAGGAGGGAGACAACCTGAGCTGTTGACTTTCCGCTGTCCAGAGGGCACAGCCATTTTGATTGTTTACACATAGCAGTCATTTTGGATATTTAAAGTAACCGAGGGCACAGCCATTTTCAATGTTTACAAGTGGCAGCCATTTTGGATATTTAAAGTGACCGAGGGTGCAGCCATTTTGAATCTTTACAAGCAGCAACCATTTTGGATTTTAAAGTGATAGAGAGCATTTTCATTTGGATTCCAGGGATCTAAGAATAGGCTCTGTTTGCCAAGGTTGGCAGGGACATACAAGAGGCTGACAACAGGAAAGGAGACAGGTGGTGAGTGTGTAAGTGCTGTCAACTAGCAAATAAAGGAGCACGGTACCCTGCTTGCATAGATAACATACAAAGAAAACGAAAATTGTAGGCAAGTCACTCCAACATACAATCACCAATATAAACACAAAAACGTCACAATGCCTTGGAGACAACAGAGCATCACGGTCCACACAAAGAAGCAAGATAAAGCAGGAGAAACAAGGAACCAGGATACAGACCCAAAACACATCCCTGAGGAAGATGCAGCATTGGAACTCCCTAAGGAATTCAAAAGAATTATATTTAGGTATCTTCAACAAATTAAAAGACAGATCAAGGAAAACACATAGAAAACCCTAGAACAATTTCAAA